TTACCAGGCTACCTTTCGTGACCTTTCCCCTTCGAATCCTGCAAGACACTTATGCCACCTCACACCATCGAGTTTCCTCCCTCCAGAGCTGTTTAATGGTTATGAATTCCACACTGGCCACCCAAAATAGACTTCTTAGTTCGACTGCGGCTGGTCCACATAGATGAAAACCTGGTAAGAAGGTTCGTCTGCCTGAAGTAGCAAATGATGGTGATTGGTGTGATGGTGGTGATGGTGGTGATGGTGGCAGGTGCAGTGCTTTGTGGACCTTTGAAGTGCAGATTTCGTGGCAGGTGCAGTACTTTGTGGGCCCTGAAGTGCAGATTTCGTGGCAGGTGCAGTGCTTTGTGGACCTTGAAGTGCAGATTTCGTGGCAGGCGCAGTACTTTGTGGACCTTTCCCAGCTTGCGAAGCCCCATCCACCACGAAATCTGCACTTCAAGGCCCACAAAGTACTGCACCTGCCACTGCCACAAAATCTGCACCTCAAGGCCCACGAAGTAGTGCACCTGCCACAAGGTCCACAAAGTAAGGCACCTGCCACGAACTCTGCCCTGCCACGAAATGCGCACTTCAAGCTCCACGAAGTACTGCACCTGCTACGATTTCTGAAACGAGCGCATGTCCAAAAGTAACGATTCACTACACCTGCCACAAAATCAGAGTCCGCCTGCCACAAAACCTGTACATCGACATCAAGCTGCTCCGATCTCCTGCACCTGTCACGAAAAGTCGACTTTAGACCACCAAAACACGAGGTTTCCCTTGCGCCTGCCATGAAAAGTGATCACCAAGTCCAAAAATGCGCACGGGACGACAACGAGAGCGCACCTCCGTCAAGCACCGTCCCGGGGCCAGCGTTTCGAGCGACCCTGCGCAGAGAAATTGCACTTGGAAATCTCAGAACGGAACTTTTTTGCGAGCCTGCGCAGCCAAAACGCCCAGCTCAGAGAGCGCACCCTGATCGAACCCGGGCTTTTACACCTACCGTAAGAACCCTCAGTGTGGACACACTGTTTGGCGAATAAAGCTCATCCCCTCTCAAAATGTGTGGCAGAGTGGACATAGTTTCGGATCTATCAAAGGAATCATGATGCTCTTGAAACATAAGTCTCCGCCATCCCAGCAGATCGCACCTGCACCTCATCCTTGGCTAAGTTGGGTGGTAGGAGCAGATCAGTGGCTTCCCTGTCGTGGTCTCGCTGCGCGCAGAAGCTGCAACAGGATCCAAGAATGAAGGAAAAGAGCCAGTTCTCTGCAGCTGTGCGGTATCCAAATGTTTAGATTTCAGGGTCTGGTGGATCTTAAAACACATGTACGCACTATTTTATGTGGATTTCCCTCACAAGGTACATGCTCAGGGTCATATGAAGGAATGCGACGAAGGACGACAGCAGGGCTTGATAGTGGATTGCGACCTCCTCTGAACATCAAAGGCAGGATCTGTCCGCGGGTGGTTTTTTGCTCCCCCCTGGCCAAAAAAAAGAAAAGAATGGTATTTCGTGCCGATTCATGAGTGTTCATGGTGGGTCATCGCCCTGTCCTTAGGGCCGTCCCGGTCACTGTCTTGGCATCTCCGCCCGAAGAACTCGCCTCGCTCGCGCGAGCTCCAGCATCAGCGGAGCAAGGGCCTTGGTCTCTCTCGGCGAATAAGCTACAGTTCCGAGCGTTGACTTAATGGGTGGAATCCCGAAGGACCCTACTAGGAACAAGGACGCGACTACGGGCTCCTGGCCTTACTACTTAATAAAGCTACTACTATGGAAGCCACAGCCACAGACCTCGCTGGATTGAGGATTACTAAGGATTCTAGTGGCCGACCTCCATCTTTTCAGGACATCTTAAGAGGCCAGTGCCATCGAACCTGTGAAACCACTGCAAGGGTTCAAGCGGAACAAGCACGGGGATGAGTCCAAACCTGGAGCCGTGGTCCGCCATGTAGATTGACCTTCCAGCAAAATCAAGCAAGGTATCCTGGTTTTGACCCACAGCCACACCAGCTACAGTTCAACTCATGGTGTTGGAGATCGTGGTTTCTCGGCCCACACTGGACTCTCTACCACCAAGACACGAAGCACGTCTGCAAAGGCTTGACCGGTGGACGAAACCAACTGTGTTTGATCTTGAAAGGGACTTTGCAGACGGAAGAAACGATGGAACACATGGTGTCTGGCTTGCAAAACCGCTGCAATGCCTGCAGGTCAGGAACGGAGTGCGGTCATACAAAAACAGTACTCAATGGTCAGACTGGACTGGTACTGTAGGGAATGCCTCTCGCTCACTTTGCAACTCTCCTCCATTCGCACCCGACGAAAAAAACCATCCAACCACATCCTGAGCCGCCAACCGCTTCAGCTGCGCTCAAGAGTAAGCCACCACAGCGCCGGGCCTGCCCAGTCACCCCCCCAGCCCGCAGCGGACGGCGAGGTTGTTGGAAAGAAAAGACCACAGGCTATTGCTGTTCCTTCTGGTGGTCTTTAGACCCACTGATCTCTGCCCTTTCAAATCCTCCCAAAATGGAAGACCCTCAGTTGGGATTCCGGATGTGTTTATTGTAGCGAAGGGGTCAGTATATGTTGTATGGAGGGATAGGACCTTAGGAAATCCTCCTCGTCTTCCAACAAATCTGGATCCCACAAGCGGCAGCACTTCATAGAGGACATCCCACTTCGAATGAAAAACTTTGAGTTAGCTGTAAGAAGTCAAGCACGTCATGAAGTTTGTCCGTTTCTCCACAACCAAAGAGGAGGCTGGTACATGTCTCACTTGGCTCTGGGATCAGAACCCTGCAGCACCTGTAGTTTCACGTCCTCACCATGAACTGAGTCATCTGCCGAAAAATCTTCACCCACCGACTTGGTCGCGGTTTTGGATGCTTAGATTTGATCCAGATTGGGAACCAGGTTCAGGATTCTTCAGGAAGAAATCCGCAACACCATCTCCAAATCGACCTAGAAGGAGAAATCCGGAACCAAAGGACCCTGGAAGGAACGAATGAGAGAGAGAGAGAGACAGAGAGCGAGAGAGAGAGAGAGAAAATAGAAAGATCATGAGACTCATGAGATATGAACCGTTTTTTCGTACGACCCTTCGGGGATTCCTCTCGGACCGACTTTCTCAGCGAGAGAAGGCCTCTTGCAGCTGCAGCTGCGAGGTGGTCAACTTCTGGTGGACCTCATGGTACTGTGCCTGCGCTCACAGAGCTCAAGTGGCTTAGCTCTGGGGTGAACATCCGATTGTAGCGCGATGTGCCGCCTGCGGTAAGCGGGGTCGACCCGGTGAGGGACCCACCCATTTCGAGCAGGTAAACACCCCAAGCATCCCAAGCTGGTAAAGCTGCTCAAGACAACACACTGCCAGTCACACCACAGGACAAAACCGTTCACGTGTCCAACAGCATCTCAGGTGCAACAAATCTCCTGTCAGTCAATCAGGGTTGACTCCTTGCTCTGCAAATTCATCAAGAAAACCTCAAAGCACCATTGCTGAAGGCCCAAAGAATGCCTTGAAGGCCCTGAAGGCCAAAGTCCAGAAATATGGAGACCCAAAGGCCCCGAATCGTCGCATGTTTCTGTGCTTCCCCAAAAAAGTTCCTCGTCCCTCGCACCTCCACGTCCGCCAGCTGCTCCCGCAGCTCCTGCGAAGACGGAGGCGTCAGGGTCTGACTCGAAGGAAGACGGACAGGTCCAGGATGAGGTGTGGGATCGGCCACGGTCCGCGCCCAGACCTGCCCACCACGGAAAACGTCGGGATTTGGAGGGGTCTGGAGTTCCGAACATGGGTTCCAAAGCACGGGTTTCCATGCGACTCCAAGGACACCTGTTTGGCAATTCGTTCTCTGCGTGGCGCATGAAAATGGCCAAAAGACTCCTGGACTCGAAAAATGGTACCAAGCTGCCTGAGTCATGTAGACTCTTGACAAGAGGTTCATCAATCCCAACGGAGGGGGATTATTGATAAAGAGAATCAAGAGTCTACACTGCTGAGTCACTACTGAGGCTTTCACCGAGCAGCTCCCTCAAGAGTTGGAATAGAATCTGCATCTTCGGTAGAATCAGCATCTATTTCACTGAGAGTTACATCCATGTTTGCTCGACCAGTTCCACAGACCCACCTCCTCTGTAAGAGCATCATCCGCCATCGCTGGCTGAGCCCAACGGCCGGAGGACAAACGGGAAAGCGGTGCTGGTCGTCGGCGATTGGTTCGCCGAAACAAATCGACTTCGGAATAGAAACAAATAGACTTCCCGCAGCTCACCCTTTGGAAAATCTCAGGGATTGCATGTGCCAGCGTGCTCGTGGATGATGACTCAAGGGTAGATGCTCCATCCATAGCCCAGGCAGCTTGTCAGCCAATCGTCAACAACCAACCGCCCTTGTGTAGTCCTGTTGTAAACTACTTGTGGAAAGGACAGGAATAAGCAAACGTTGAAAGCAAACACTCTGCAAGTCTGTGAGTGGTGAGTTATATCCTATCAACGCTTGTTACAACCATGTATAGCAGTATTCTGCTTGGACCCCTCTTTTGCTGCGCATTAACGTCCGCTTGCAGCTTGTGTTTCAAATTGGCACATCAAGCGAGTTGTGGCCTCCATTCGCGGTACCCGGGAACTGGTCACCGGTTGGGAATGAAACATATTCATTTTTGCAAGCACGGCCATAGTGGTAGCAGTAGTTCTGTAAGAAGGGCGAAAGTGAATCTGGCTCACTGGCAGCAAGGAACCCTTGGCTAAGGGGCGTGGTGATGGAATGACTGGTTCTTCAATTCGCCTCACAGGACATTGGTTTTAACAACACTCCTCCGCCCGCATGCTCATCTGGCAGCGCAACGAAAGCTTTCATAGAGCTTTCAGGCGAAGAGCGAGCGAAGACGCACTGACCCTTTGGCCAGAGGAGGCTACATGCTCGAACTACTCTAAAAGGCTGAGTCCCAATTGGCAGACTTTCTGTCTCACCTGAACCCGCTTTGGTGGGTAAAGTGGTTGATCTTGCTCAACCAGGGCTAATCAAACCAAACGAAAGAACAAGTGCTGATTTGCGACTCGCCACGAAAAGAAGAACCCAGCCGGCATCGCCATTGAATTCCCGAAGAACGCACCACCTAGGTGAAAACGTGGAGAGGAACGTGCAGTCGTTCGGGGTTGAGTGGAAAACCACAGGAGGGGTGGCCACAGAACTGCAGAATGGGTTCTGTCACTCACGTCGATCCCGCAGAACCTATCAACCAAACCCACCCTGTCCATCCACCCATCACATCATCACCAAGCCCAAACCATCACCCCATCCAAACTCCCAGGTCTCGGGCGCGCCCCGCCCCGCCCGAGGCCGGGCTCCACACCGTCACGCAGCCGGGCGCGGTTCGGTCTTGGGGCCTCGAGAGAGAGACCGGAAAGCATCCAATGGACACGAGTATGCATCAGCCACCAAACCGAACCACCTAAAATACATATATATATATATGCATGAATATGTCTATAGTTATTATATACTGTGTAACTGTTAACTATTCTTTTTACAGTAATATTTTAGATATCTATTTACATATGATTCATATGATGTAGGGATACAGAAATCTGGCACCTGACAGAAAATAATGTGTTCGTTGGATTCGTCCAGCAAAATAGAATCATGTCTTTTGTTCATGGAGTCATTTCTTGCCACACGAAGACCATTTCAGGAGCATGCTCTCTGTCTCTTTCCGGTATTTGCAGTAGATGGAAATACCGGCCTTGTCAAGAACTCACCTAGAAACTGACAGACCATCCTGAGCTTCAAGAAAAAGTATATCCTTTCCCACCGCTGGCCATCTTCCTGTACTTGACAGACACGTGTTATCTCTTCGGACACCAAAAAGCAGTCACCGGTCGTGCGACCTTTTCGGGTCCAACCATGGCATAGAAACAAGTGCCACGCTAGTAGTAACAAGTGCCTTACTAGTAGTAACAAGAAGCTACTAGGAACAAGTGCATCGCTTCTAGTAACAAGTGCCTTACTAGTAGTTTTGGGTCGCCAACGAACACATGGCGCGGTCGTCAAAGAGCGCGGTCGTCAGCCCATGTGAACCGAAGCATCGAGTATCACCTGGCTCCCAAACCTCCCATACCAGCGATTCCCTGAACCAACGTCGGCCATCAACGGAACAAAGGCTGACCCACCAAGATTGGACTGCCTTCAACCTACTTTGCTTCTTCGGTGCTCGATCGTGCGCAAACACTCCACCCACCACTCAACCCCTGCCCGGACAGGGCAGGTATGGGACGGTACATGTACAAAAGAAATGGAACTTACCTTTAGGGGGAGTTAGACGCACGGCCAAAGGGTTCATCGCAGCGGGGTCTGCACTAGCACCACGCGCAGGGAACGCCTGGTTCAGAACCGCACCTCGTGAAGAAGAGATCTGCTGGCTGGTTTGGCCCAAGGCAGCCTTGAAGGGCCGGACTGTCCCATTTCCATGTTGCCACATGTAGTGTAAAATGAACCAGGCATGTTGCCATCTGTGGTTTGCCCAAAAGAGTCTTTCCACTTTCCACCTTTCTTGTTTTTTTTGCTTTGACCGACTCCACACCCAACAAAAACAACGAAGGGTTGTCCACCCCCCCCCTTATGGTAGAGGAAAAGAGTCTTTCAAGGCACCATTCTCCACTTTCATCGTTCGACGGAGGCGAAGTGTTTTTGTGAAAAAGACAATGTCCATTGGTCATTGGTCCATCTCCATTTCGCAAACCTCCAAAGTTGCCTTCAAGCCATGGGGAACTGGAGCTGCCTGGTCCTTTCAATATCAAAGCCTAAGTCCTCATCCAAGCCGATCCATGTGCCGAACCAAAAATGGCCGATTTCGGAGGAAGAACCTGCTGAAAGGTCGACTCCTCTGATCTTGAAGAGGCAAGTTGCTGACTTCAAGCTAAGGCTTAACAAGAAGCTAGTAGAAACAAGTGCCACGCTAGTAGTAACAGGTGCCTTACTAGTAGTAACAAGAAGCTAGTAGAAGCTAAGGCTTGCTCTGAACTTCCGAGAGTTGGGCAGTTCCGCTTCGGTGTCGAATCCAACGGTCGCAGAGACCGCACCTCCAACTCCTCGTAGGCATTGCGCTGCACTGTTTGAGTGTTCTGCAACCTGGCGCCAAACAGCGGCAAACGAGTCCCCGCGGGCAGCGCAGCTTGTCCTCCCTTTGTGATAGGACAGAACGCTACAAAGTTCACCGCTACCAAACACGAGGTAGTGAAGCCCCCTATGTTTGCCGTGGAGGAGAGTTTCCGATAAAAGAACGAATGGCAAGGGGCAAGAGACCAAAAAGCTTCAGGATCTAAGCAAATCTTTGAATCACCATTGACCCCAATGCTCCATCGACATGTCCTGGCCGAAAAGAACACAAGGCGCTTCTTGAACACATGTCCGAACGATCTTGACCGAGGAGATCGCTTCGGGCTGGCGGTATGATCGATCCTTTGGATCGACACCGTTGTCCCAGAATCGCTCCCACCAGGTTGAATCCGCCCCGGTTGAAAGATCCTCGTCCAGGAGAAACTCCGGAAAAGAAGCAGGAAAACACATCGAAACAGGAAAAAACATCGAAATACAAACAGGAGACCCCCAAAAAACGACCAAACAAACATCCTTACTATATAAACTCTTTTTCGACTCTGCTCGTCATGTTCTGCTCCGGTCACCTCTGGATGAGCTCCATCTCCTCTTTCTCCATCTTCGCCACCAGAGCGTCCGTGCCTCACAACTTTGGGATTCGACCCATAGACACCATCCCTGCCGCGTCCGAAGCAGTACAGTAAGGCGTGGTTGCATCGGTCCTGGTTGAGAGAACTGGGGAATCAAGTCCTATCCACCGGCTGACTTAGGAAACCACAAGCTAAATAAAAATGTAAGAAGCCTTGGGATAGAAAATTCTCTTAAAGAGGTCTTGAGAGTCTTGAAGGGACGAAAAAGGAGCTCATCTTTATAACAGTGCAATCTCCTCGTGCTAATTGGAAAAGACATCGAACATTTTCACGCCGAGGGCTCCCGCGGGCACGCAGCATCTCCTCTTGCGCTGCACGGGCCTCACGCGAGCGCCGAAGCAGGACACAAGGAAGAAACATGTACAGTATTGTGTTTTAGATTGTTTTAGCGTCTCTCTTTTACCATGGAGGGTGCTCTGGAGCCATGCCCAAAGAACTCTCTGTCGGCATCCTTCACATGCGATCAGTGTAATCACCGGTCTCAAGTCAAACAAGGCCTCTCTCCCAGTCCAAAAAGACACGTAATTGCAAAATGCTGTCTTAGTTTCGGTTTGGAGTGGGGGGGGAACCTCTTCTAAAGCAAAATCCATCCGGTCGCTCTTCCAGGTCAAGACCTCTCAGCCAAGCGGGGACTGGAGGGGGTTCACAGGGGGTCGCCGTGCCAAGGTCGGGTGCAGGGCACCATGGGGCTCGTCGTTTTTCCCAAAACATCGACGTGCCTGGCCCAGTGGGTATCGCTCCCCGCGATCCCCGAACCCGCTCCCATGGAGCTCCCATGAGCTGGTCGATGGAGCTACAGCAGTTCGGGTCGATGTGCCCTGCGGATTCCGTGACTGGTTCCGCCCGAATCCAAAGCGGAGCCCGGTGGGACTTCCAAACATGGTCCCAACATGCTCCGCATGCTCTGTTCCCGCACCAAAGCAAACTTGGAACCTCGCCCGCTTGTCATTATCCAACCCAGGCATCCAAGCACAAGTAATGTCTGTCCAATTCACTCATAAAAATTAGTGTGGAAAACGGGAGAATGGCCCCTAACAAGGATGACCCGTCAACATACCAATGCTTTTCCACTTCCTCGGGTCACTTGCCCCCTGCGTCGCCCTTCCTCAGCTCGGCCTCGTAGTCCTCGCGATACTTTTCGAGCTGCGCCATGCGCTCCTCTTCCATCCGGCGCTTGGCCTGAACGCATGCTGGAGGAGTGGTGTTGAACATTGCACTAAATCAGGTGATATTGGTGTATCCTGTATCCCAGTGGTACCACCACTATCATGAACTTTATTTGTGTATCCTAGTGGTACCACCCGGTACCACCTCTATCAGGATGTTGATTTACCCTGCTATAGACCTGTGTGGTGGTATGGGAGTGGCATAGGTGAAATCCTTATGGCAGTTATCCTTGCGAAGACTCCTCTTGGTGCTTGCTCGAGGGGGGAAAACAAATTGGTACCTGTCAAAAATAGGGAGACCTGCCAGTTCGATCCCCTGGAAGGTTCGGAAAACAAAGCAGTCTACCCAGCCAGGGGCGATCGGGAGTCTTCCTATGAAAACACACCCAAATGCTCCATTCAGCACGCACCACTTTGGATCGGAAATTTGACCGAAGAACCAGTAACAAGGCCTGTGATGGGAAACCTGGCGACTGGGGTGAAGGCCTAGTTATCTTTTTAAACTTTGCTCTTCATGCTTGCTGATTTGTACGAGGTCGTACGATCTTCTCGCCACTGGCCCAAAGAACTCGAAAACGCCTTAGTAGCATAGTCCGACTCCTCTTACAGGGGTTCCTGAGTGGGGTCGAGACTCTGGTTGAGCATTCTGAAACTGAAGCAGCTACAAATATCCTTCGGATGGTGTCTGGCATGTTAGGGACACGGTCAGGTGGCAAAACTGCAACCTGAGCAAACCTTGACAGGTTCTTGGTTTCAAGTCAACAACCCAAGCCCAAGCCCATCTACCTGGACAATATCGACGGGTGGTGGTCATGGCAATGCCGCTACCGACGCCAAGCAGAAGCAACAAAGGCCTCGTCTTTCCTCTGCTTCAAATACGACGACCTCAGCGAATCAAGGAAATGGCCGGTCGGCGCGGCGAACGCTTTTTTGCTGATTGAGCCGGAGAAATGTGGGATGCCCTCCTTCAGCAGCAAAAAAGGGCAGGAGTTTCGCAACACCACTTCAACCCAGCCTACATTCAAGACACCCTCCAAAAAACTGACATGGTGAGGATAAAACTTCACCCAATTGGCCAGCGGCCACTGACCCTGTTGAAGCCATCTTCCCTTACCACTCTCAGAACGAGTCAGTCTACCTTGAACCCCGGCCATATTTCAGCCCAGTAGGTTAGAGTTGGTTGGAGCGTTCAACAAGATTTGAGTGTTTGATTATTTGCCATTCCCACTGCCTCTAAAAATGGAGATGCGAATGACTAGCGCGGCTCTATATCAAGCAGTATCAGTGAAGTTCTTTCAACGGCCACTGATGATGATGACTTCTTTCTTCAGTGACTTCTTTCTTCTTTCTTTCCTCAGTGACTACGGTGGCTATAGGAGACCAAGGCAGCCGTGGAGAACAACAACTCTTCCAAAAGCCCGGAAGGCTTCCAGAAGAACTCGATTGCAGGCGCAGCAGTTCTGATGCTCTTTCCAACTCTTTCCTCACTTGAGACAGAAAGGCCATCAATCTTGTATGACGATATGGGTGGGAGAAAGGCCAAAACACCCAGTCTGGGGACACGTGCCGTTCCAGATTCGCCTGACGCTCGGCCTCAGGGACTGGGGACTGTTGGCGACTCGCCGTCGCCCACCAGATCAAGTCATGGACTCAATCCTTCCTGTGTCGTTGGACTCTAAGGAAACATTGAGGTGCCCCAAAGCTACTTTTCTTCCGTTAGCGTGCAAGTTCTGAAAACCAGTGCTGCCATCTTCAGGTTGTGACGTCCTGATCTGGAAAAGAAGACACCAGGTGCCAGGTATCCGACTGGTTGTGACGTATCACCCAGGCGCTCATGGACCCTCCGTTCAGTGGGGGCTGGACCCGAATCCCCTGAGGGGTCTGCAATCTCAGATCCCTATGGTTTTGAGGGATCAAGGTCTGTTTGGAACGCTTGGGCAATACCCGTCAGTACCCGACTCATCAAGGCAACGGACCGACAAGCCGTGTCTTGGCTCCACCGATGGGTTGCCCGGGCAAAGATCAGGGCAGCTTGTTCATTGGAGGGGCTGAAATCGGTGGTTTGGCTTGGTACCACCAATACCACCATACTTTGGTCTATCCTATTGCATCCTATTGCCAGTGCCAGTGGATGATGATGGTTACTAAAGGCCTTTCTCAAAAATTGTGATAATTGTTTACGGACTGTTACAGGTAATAGGACAGACCCAAACCATACTAGCATAATGGGAATGGGTGAAGCATGGCCTCATCCGCCGGCTGGATCCATTCCTGCTTGGTCAGGGCTCCCCACCGCCTCACGCTCCTGGCTCAAACATGATCAACCAGCAGGGCTGGTCTGGTGTTTCTGAGTGAACTCCGATGAGCTTCTAGGTGTAAGTCTTAACCAAGCGACAGTCATTGGATGGACTGCTACAAATCGCTGTCGATCAGATCGAGCTTCAAAGGATTTCCTCGCAAACTTCAATCCCGCATCTTCCCCAAGATTCTCAAGTCCCATCCTTAAAGTAGCTCAGGTGGTACAAAGCTTCGCCGTGTGATATGGGAATGCAGGTGTTTGGAACATGTATCAGTTCTGTGTTTTGATTCTCCTTCCTCTTACATATGTTTGGGCACCACCATGCCTCACCTAGGTCACCCATTATAGGGCCCACCGTTGTAGGACCCACCGGATGGGCCCTCCATGAGGGCCAATCTCTACGATGGTTCTTTCAACTGGCCTTCGTTGCCATTCCCCCTGCTCTAGCAATACTCCTGAGCACATGTAACCTGGCAACCAAACACGCTGCCATCGCTCCTCCTCAGGCCATCTCTCTCTCTCTCTCTCACCGCTCACGCGCTTCCGGTCTCCACGGACCTCCCCGGTCGCGTCGGACACACTTCGGAAGATTCGCTGACTCAGCCAGCCACACTGCCTCCCCATCAGCTTTGAGGAAAGTGATCAACAACTGCACCCTAAAAACGATGGAACGCGATGGAACGCTACCCCATGATGTCTAAATCCTCAATCCTGACATCAATCCTCATGGATCCTTCCATCCGGCAGAGTCCCATGGCTCCACCCAGTCGGTTGTTGATCTGCCCTCAGCCATTGGTGATGGCGTCCTGGATCTCAGTCCATTGGACCACCTTCGGGCCCTCAGCCTCTAGATCCAGGCTAATCTGAACACGAGCGCCGGGTGCAGCAGTGATGGACCAGTTGAGGCCATGCCCACGGTTGTCCTGAACGACCGGAGGAGTGAGGCACGGCGAGTTGGTGAGAGCTGCAGTTCGAAGCAGCGCTGTACGAGGTTCGAAGCGCGGTTCGAAGGGTGGTTGCAGGTCGTTGCAGATATTGTGGCAGGTTCGGGTGGGTGCAGTGGAGGTTTCGGCGGCAAAATCTCATCTATTGCACTTTCTATCAAGGCTCAACCCCGTGTCCTAGAGTTGTTCTATAGTCTATGTATATTATATATATATACACTGACTCTACAGGAAGATCTATAGAAAGTGTACATTCCTCCCATGATTCACTGGAAGCAGCCGTTTGGGGGAGGTCCACAGTCTCATGAAATGCACTGACAAGTGCCAGGATGTTCCATATTCTTCCGAAGCTTTCACCCTTTTTGCCAGGTCCTCACTGGGTATTGTCAAGGACGTGTATAACTACAGCACCTTGCCAACTCACGCCCACTAGCAAGAACCAAATCTGTTCCCCCCCTCTGCTTCGTCGGGATTGGTCGGAACCAAGTCGCGGGGCCACAAACATAGGCCTCCCCCAAGGCAGCCTTTGGCTTGTTCGGGTAGAGGCGTCGGTGCGAGTCCTTCAAAGGATTCCTGAACGAAGGAGGCTTGGCATCGTTCGGGAGACGCCAGGGATGGGAGTTGCACCAACGTACCGAGCGACGAGTTGCACGCCCAAGGGCAAGACTTTCTTCACGAGGACAGTCATGAGGAGTCAAACTGTTAGACATGCTCTGTTTTCCGGAAGACTCAAAAGCAAAAAAGGAGACGATCTGATCTTTTTGGAAGACGTCACTCGTCCGGAAGACTCAAAAGCAGAAAAGGAGGCGATCTGATAATTTTTGGAAGACGTCACTCGTCCCACCTCACTACTCGACCAATGACCTTCAGGTGACAATGTTAGGACCAAAAAAAGCATAGGGATGACCCACAAAACCGGCGGTCCCTGTCCTATTCATTGAATGTGCCTGGTGCTGCAAACCACTTCATACGGTTTTACGAGCACCAAGATCCCCCCCTAACATTCAAACAGACAAACATCCCAGCCAGCTTGGAAGGTACAATATCCAGTCATCCGACCAGCTTCATCGGCGGCAGCCACTTGGAGGGGCCACTGAGCTGGTGTTCAAGGCCCCAATCATCCAGCACCAGCTGGAATTCGGCCACTCCATCACTTCCCATCAGTAGCTCGTATTGGAAGACGGGAGAACTCGTGGACGGTTCCACCTCCTGCAGAGTCTGCGGTGGTGTTCATGTCTTGGAAGTTGCTATGGAAGTGCTGGACTTTTCATTGCAAACACAAAAGACCCACTTTATGGTCATCGTCTAGGGGAAGTGGAATCGAAAAAAAATGTAACTTTCCTGATCGTGGGGTTGTTCCATATATTTCCATATTATATACATCTACTGGGGGGGTGATATTTTTGACGTGATCAGAAACTGGAAGACTGCCAAAACTCCACAGGTTGTTCATGCGTTCATGGACCTGTCGGGTTCTGTTGGTATCGTGCCCCTTTGTCACGTGTATAACTGGGACATAAGTCTGCGTCACGTAATTGGTTCATTTACAGTGAACAGTATATGAGATGAGTGGTGTAGCACAAGTGGCTGATATGTCGGGGCCAAAAAGCGCTCACAAATTGCCTGGATGAAAGCATGGTAGCTGGTTGTTGCGAAAGTGCTACATTGTAGCTTCTACTAGTACATATACAGTGCAGTACATGAAATACCACTCCTACAGCTTGGAAAAGGAGTAGCAAATGCCGCGCATGACCTCTAGTTGTTTGATATCCCATTGAGCAACTACGAACTTGCCATCAAAGAAAGAATGACCTGGAGTTGTACTCAAGAGGCAAAGTGATAATTCCATGTAGTTCCCAAATACCTTCCCTTTGTGAACTAATGACCTCATGGTTTGGACCCCAAGCCCCCCAAGCCTTTTCCGAAAGCACTGACAACCAGTGGCGGTCCAAAATGGTTAAATCGAAGACTTGGTTGAAGACCTGGTGCTCCAGGTTCACCATGGTTCACTGGTGGGCGGTCGGTCTCCTGCGACCGCTGTGTGTGACTGGACCCCCTTCACCTGGCTCACACCTGACCCCGCCTGTGCTTGGTCGCCCAAGCGCGGAGCCTTCTTCATGACATCAAAGCCCCAGTTATTCCAAGAGCCGGAGATCAGGAAGACCGGCTCCTGCAGCAACAGCCGGGCTGCTCAGTGTGAACACCGGGGAAATACTGAAAGGCTCTGTAATGTAGACTCTTGATTGTACAACCGGCCTTTTGGATTGTAAAAACTCTTCATATCAAAAAAATAAAAGTGATGAATCAAGAGTCTACATTAGGGAATTGATGGGAAAGTGTCATCCAGGTTTCCAGATCCCTTCCGAACTGAAGGAAGGGTCGCCGTCGCCGTTCCGCCTACGCTTACCCCTCCGCTCGATTCAACAAGGCGCGGAGCCGTCCTCTTTGGGCCCGGTCGAGGAGGTCCAAGTTTGGACACCGCTCTCAGCGCTGCAGGTCGTCATGGTGATCTCACCATCCACCACCCGCAGCTGGATGGTGACCACCTAGATCGGAGTCCGAAAACGGTGCCGGGTAAGAGGGTTCCGGAGGGGTCCATCCCAGCCCTCTTTTCTCTGTCGGGGGTGGTTCCCACACGAGAAAGCACATTTCTGAGGCTGTTCACAGGAAACATGAAGAGTACGCTCCTGGAACATGGTCCCAATGGCTTCAGAATTGCTTTGCAACCGAGACGAATCTTCCACAAATCTACATTAATTATTATGGTTCATGTGAGTTTTCGGACAAAACACAAGGATCTCTATAGGGAGTCGTCAAACTGGAGAAATTGATTGAAACGCAAACTCAGCGGTTTCTTGACCGGAGAATAGGATTCTCCTGAATCTCTTCCTGCAATTCAAACACCCTTCCGCCCCACAATTCCTTGGTAACTAGCTCTTGCCTCATTGCTCTTGCCCTGCAGTAGCCAATTCCTCCCAGAGCGGCAGGATTCTGCAAACAATCACCGACAAACATGCATGGGCGTTCGTCTATGCACGTGCTTTTCTGCCAGTGCATTTCTTGTGAATCCATTGCTTGCAAACGAAAAGCCACCCCACCATTCAATCTGATCCTGCCTTCCATGGCCCAAATGGTCGGGGCCCATGATGGGTATCTCTGTGCGTGTCACACGGCTGGCTGCCGGGTGGATGACCTGTACGAGAGAAAACAGAGCAGCGAACCCGCTCGGAGCACACCTCGTCGTAGAATGGACGGGTGATCAAGCTTTGTCGTTGGAACGGCCATCAAAATGGAAGAACTCTGTGCACCTTCCGCCTGCTGAGAGAACCTGAAGTTCTGCTCCACATATGACAAAGATTCAAAACTTATTGCTCTTATTCAACTAAAATGGGCCTCATCGGTTTTGAGCCCCTCTCTACGAAAATGATCTTCTGTTTCTATCGTTGGCTCACATGATATATGTACAGTCTATGTATATATATATATATATATCTGTGTGTGTGTGCATCCCACCTCACGTTGCATGCTGTGTACAAAAAGACACTGTGACCACTTGAGAGAGGAGGGGGTGAACGAAAGGTAGCAGGCAATCACAAGCAACCCTGGTAAAAGTCCATGACGGCGTGAACCGGCGCACGGGGGATTTGATCCAGGGGGGGGCCAAACTCAATGCACAATCCCAACTCCTGATTGTAATACAGTTTTGCTAAAGCAAGGAGAACTCAGGTAGCTCAAGCTACCTTTCGTGACATGGCTGTGGGTCAAAACCTGGACCTCTAATCCCTGGTAGGTTGACCTCCCGTAGGTCGGCTAAATTCTGTTCACTCTCTGTTGGCCCAAGCTCCGGGCCTGGCACCAATCTCGGTCGCGCACAAACTGAAACTCCTCCTGCCCTGACAAGCCCAAGCGAACTGAGGTGCTCCAAAGACCCTCCTCCTGGGGAACTTCGCGCAAGTCCGACGGGGGACAGCGAGGACGAGGGCGAGGACTTTGAGGGCGAGTCTGTTGAAAGTAAGACGAAGTTGTAGGCCTGCCGGGCCTGGTAGGCCCGCTAGGCAAAAT